GTGTGTGTGCTTGGCAGATTCCTGGGCATCTACCTACTTGGTTTGTGAGGTTGCTATCATTGTACGTATCCCAGGGTCCAAGTATAGCCATAAAGGTTGGGATGGCTCTTGTAATGTGCAACACAAATCAGAACTCGATTAAAAATGTGTCTATCGTGTTTGCACAGAAAGATGAACTCCTGTATTAGAATTCTGTACAATGTGTCACTGTGTTATATACATAACATCTACCTCATATCTTGGGAGAGTGTGAAACGGCAACCCAGAAGGCGCATAGCTTTTATGGGATTCTGGGAGGGAATGTTTTTAAGCTACTGTGGGCTAGTGGGGATCAACATTGGTTCTGGATGCCTTTGGCAGATGGGGAGAGGGGTTTTTTTTGTGAGTGGCAAAGGACAAAGACTCAGTGCATAGGAAATGTCACAGGGAGACCAAGAGAGGAAACCGTGCTACAGGCTGTTGAGATCCAGGGAATCTTAAAATTGCTGGGGATCCAGAGATGCAGATTCCCCTTACTACAATCTGATGGGCAGCAGGTAGAGGGAGCCCAACCAAAGCTATGATAATCTAGTTAAAGGAACAAGATAGCTGGTTAAGGTGACTTGGTGTATGGTCTTTGGTTTTACACCACAGCAAAAATAATGGGCTAAACTCTGCTCTTGTTTACACCCATAGTGGATGACTATGAGTCATCAGACAGAGGACGTACAGAGGTTCTGTTGTTGCAGTGACCACAGTATAAAATGAATGCAGAAAGTTAGCAAGGGCAGGTGAGATGGCAATTTAGAGCTTCAGGTTTAAACTAGAAAAAAAAAACAGTAACACAAAACAATATTATTAATTTTCAAATATATTACAAACTTCTACTCCTGATGAGCAGGAAGTGCATGCCTCAGCATCCTCATCCTGTAGCTGGATGCTGACACACACCAAAATTACTTTTAATTTTGTTTTCTTGCAGCTCACAACACAGTGAATAAATGTGCTGCTTGAGGATATCTATGCCCGTGTCTTTTCTGAAGATGCAACAGTGAACCATCAGGCTCCCGAGCAGAGGTGCTTCTAAAGAAACTTGTGAGTGAAGATCAGAAATGTATCCTTAAGCAGAATTTATCCCCCTTTTTTTTTTTTTTGCTCATTACCTTTTTCTGAGCAGTAAGTGTATGATAAAGACTTCAGGTACAATAACTGTTCTACTATAGCACAGTACAGTTAATCCAATTGAAGCTATTTGCAACCAGTTTAGAATAAAGCGCTTTACCAGGCTATTACTAACAAGAAGTTGTAATAAGAATGGGGAAAGGGTAAAGGCAGAAGGAAACTATGGAGAGAGGGGATTATACAATGAATATCCCAAGAGGAAATAAACTTTTCAAGAGGAAATGAACTGACCATAAAACTGACCATTTCCACTGCATGCATCTGATGAAGCGGGACTTTGCCCACAAAAGCTTATGCTCCTATAAATCTTTTAGTCTATAAAGATGCCACAGGACTTCTTGTTGACCATAAAACTGTTATTTTAATTAAATCATTTAAAAAGGACTTTAATTGAAATAAAGCTTTTTAAAGGAAAAGAAATGACAATAGAAAAAACCAGAGGGAGCATGGAGTTTGTTTCAAACACCAGTGGTCAACATTCTCATGAGAAGACTTAGACTTATTTACATTTTAAAACAGAGTTCCAGTTGACTGAGCTTCCAAATTAAAACAACCAGATCAAATACTGGACTAAGAGAGGAGCAGTGTGGTCATTCTGCTTCTACAAGTGTGAACTATAATTTTTGTACCTGACAACAATGACAATGTTTATAACCAAGCAAAGTTCCTAGGGAGGCAAAAGGAAGGTTTAACTGAAGAGCTGATATGTACTTCAAAAAGTTACATACAATTGAATGTCACTCTCAGATTCTAAATCATGACCTAATTAGAATCCAAGAGGACTGGTACAGATATCTCAGAATACCAGACAGGCACATTTGTCATTGTGAATCTGTCCTTAAAAGTACCTGAATCATCCAGTCTGTAATAGACAGTCTGACTATAGTGGAACATTTCTGGATGAAAGGTGCTATATAATTTAATATAAGCATAATATAGTATTTTCAACTAGAGCAAGACAAATAATACATTCTGATTTATTTATTAATAAACTTTGCTTTTTCCCCTTCCTCTCTTTCTCCTGGTCTATACTAAGGGATAAATTCAAATTAAGATATGCAACTTCAGCTATGTTAATTGTATAGCTTAATTCAAAGCATCTTAACTCAAATTTTGGCATCACCCACATTGCGAGAAGTTGAAGGGAGCACACTCTCCCTTTGACTTCCCTTACTCCTCGTAAAAACAGGACTACTGGCACTGACTAGAGCACCCTCTCAGTTCAAATTAGCCTGTCTTCACTTGACCTGCTAATTTGAACCCTAGAAGATCAATTCCAGGTGCTTCAATCTTATTTGTAGTGTATACATGGTCTTTGAGAGTTGTCCATGAAGAGGTCTACATTTTCTTGAATTTATTGTTCTAATTATTTATTGTTTAACTTCTGCAAATAGCTGTTGATCTCTAGATTATTCATAACCTCAAATCTTTTTTTTTTTTTTGCAGGTACTCAAAATTCAAAATCTATAGCTGCTTTAATGCAGCAATTAGGCCAGGTAGATTGCCCCATTAAGTGAATTAAATTGTGCCATGTAGGCAAGCCTTTTGTTGGGACTGTTTGCAAAAATGATTACCTGGATGAAATACAACTTGTGTGCAGAAAGCCAGCGCAAATCTTATGAAGTACTTACATCTCAATCAAGCCATTCTGTGTGAGTCTTAGGTAGGACTTGAATGGTACAGAAGCCTTTTATAGTTTTTGCATAAGGATACATTTCACTCTTCATGGAATAATCTTCAATATAACTTAAAATTCACTATAAATAATCTCCCAAAGAAAAAAAAGAACACGTGTGTTATTTTGGAATTTAATCAAATTTGCATAAAAACCATGGAAATTTTAATTTGCCCTGCTCTATTTTTAATTGAGATTGATACAAAAAGGTCTGCTGGAAGTTTGTAGGCATTTCACCTGCATCATGAACCAACAGTCTGATAACCTACATTGTATTGGTGAAAGATCAAAGCGTACACATATATGTCAAAAAGGTGTTAATATGATAGTGATCTTTCTTCCAGTATTATGAAAAAAATGCACACACAAACAGATATCTATTTGAAAGGCTGTTAGATCACAATTACCTTGCTGTCCATATAAAAATAGACACAGTGACAGTTTGTTAATCTGAATAACACGATGAAGAACATGCAATGCTCAGAATTAGTAGTCTCTTCTCAGTCAGGAAATTATAGGTATAGTAGACTCTATATTAGTGTTTTGGAAATCGAAGGAAATCAGGTAAGTGAACATTACTCAAGACTTTGCAGGATGAAGCCCTAAATTAGGATGTCCCCTCAATAATTTTTTTAAAATGTTGATTCACCTCCTCTTAAACATGCTTCTCCTTATACATTCCTACACACTGAAACCACATTATCTGCATAAGAACAGTCTACACTAGGGAGTTATTTCAAAATAACGCCCCTTATTTTGAAATAACAAGCAGAGTGTCCATACTACCAAGCCCATTCTATCAAAATAATGGACCAGTCATTTTGAAATCTGTACACCTGCTTTCCTTGGAGAATAACACTTATTTTCAAATAGTGGAGACGCTGCTGCTATTTTGAAATAACTATTCCGCAGAGTAATTGGGGAGTAATTACTCCTGAATGCTTCCTGGGGCTCTAAGTCAAGGTCGCACATCCACTATAACAGAGCCTGCCTCGGACTAATTTCAAGGCTCTCCCCTAGTGCAAGCCTGCCTCGGACTAATTTCGAGGCTCTCCCCTAGTGTGGACACACTATTTCAATGTTGTTATTTGGGGAGTTGTTAATTCAAATGTAGTTATTTCAAAATAATTCCCTGAGGTAGACATGACCTGAGTTTTCCTGCTGTGATAGTCCAGAGAGGTCACCTGGTCCATGGTCCAGACATTTTTAGGCATAGTCAGTGGATGGCTAGGGCTACAGAACGCTTATTCCCTCCCCTATCTCTGTCCTCTGCATCATAGAATCATAAAAATGTAGGGCTGGAAGGAACCTCAAGAGGTCATCAAGTCCAGTTCCCTGTGCTGAGACAGGGCCAAATACTTAAGTCTTAGACCATGCCTGACAGACTCAGCACTGTTCCAGTGATATATCGCCCTCCTCCCAACCCTTCTCTCTGATCAAAGCGTACACATATATGTCAAAAAGGTGTTAATATGATAGTGATCTTTCTTCCAGTATTATGAAAAAAATGCACACACAAACAGATATCTATTTGAAAGGCTGTTAGATCACAATTACCTTGCTGTCCATATAAAAATAGACACAGTGACAGTTTGTTAATCTGAATAACACGATGAAGAACATGCAATGCTCAGAATTAGTAGTCTCTTCTCAGTCAGGAAATTATAGGTATAGTAGACTCTATATTAGTGTTTTGGAAATCGAAGGAAATCAGGTAAGTGAACATTACTCAAGACTTTGCAGGATGAAGCCCTAAATTAGGATGTCCCCTCAATAATTTTTTTAAAATGTTGATTCACCTCCTCTTAAACATGCTTCTCCTTATACATTCCTACACACTGAAACCACATTATCTGCATAAGAACAGTCTACACTAGGGAGTTATTTCAAAATAACGCCCCTTATTTTGAAATAACAAGCAGAGTGTCCATACTACCAAGCCCATTCTATCAAAATAATGGACCAGTCATTTTGAAATCTGTACACCTGCTTTCCTTGGAGAATAACACTTATTTTCAAATAGTGGAGACGCTGCTGCTATTTTGAAATAACTACTCCACAGCGTAATTGGGGAGTAATTACTCCTGAATGCTTCCTGGGGCTCTAAGTCAAGGTCGCACATCCACTATAACAGAGCCTGCCTCGGACTAATTTCAAGGCTCTCCCCTAGTGCAGACACACTATTTCAATGTTGTTATTTGGGGAGTTGTTAATTCAAATGTAGTTATTTCAAAATAATTCCCTGAGGTAGACATGACCTGAGTTTTCCTGCTGTGATAGTCCAGAGAGGTCACCTGGTCCATGGTCCAGACATTTTTAGGCATAGTCAGTGGATGGCTAGGGCTACAGAACGCTTATTCCCTCCCCTATCTCTGTCCTCTGCATCATAGAATCATAAAAATGTAGGGCTGGAAGGAACCTCAAGAGGTCATCAAGTCCAGTTCCCTGTGCTGAGACAGGGCCAAATACTTAAGTCTTAGACCATGCCTGACAGACTCAGCACTGTTCCAGTGATATATCGCCCTCCTCCCAACCCTTCTCTCTCTACCAGAATTCTTAAACCATCTCTTTCATAAATGTTCAATACTGGGGAAGTAAACATTAACATCATTTCATTTAGCAATCCCTCCTCATTCCCTGGTAGTTCCCATGTCCTGACCTTCCCTATCTTGAGCAATCACAACTTCTGTACACTGCAGTGTTGATCTCCATTAGGAACCTCCCCTCTTTTCTCCATCATTCCCTCTGTTACTTTACTGTTAGGGACTATTCAAGTTGAATTTCTGTCATTATAGACCTATCCTTTCCAACGTCTCTGTCTTCCACCAAGCTTTTAAAATTTGACATAGCGATCATATACTTTTTCAGATCTGCAAGCCTATAGCTGAGCTAAAAAGACTAGACAAAAGCAAAATGAAACAATAGAAGATAGACTGATAGATAAAATGCTTCAAGTTATTTAAAATACTAGAGGCTTTAAAACCCTAAGGCTCCTGAAGCCTGGGCCAGACAGACTGCAAATATGCATTTCTTTTTCAACACAAGCTTCTGTGTCTTTGATATAGTTTTGAAACAGATGTGTTTTGAGCTGGAGTTGGACTTGAAAGAGAAAATAAATGTTCAATAGAAAATATTTTTTCCTATTCAGAACAGAATCTAAAGAGAGAAAAACAAATTCTAAAAGATACAGTGTTAATTACAGAGGAGAAACTCAAGTGATTCAGAGGTTCAACTCAGTAAGTGTTAAACAACTGAACTTTTGATCTGAACCTCTGCTGACTTGTTGAATCTTACAAGCATGTAGAACTGGACTTGAAATTACACTAACCAACCCCTTTGTGACACATCCATAACTTCCTGCTTCTGTTCTCATTTGATACGCCCCAAACAGCTTCTCTTGCAATACTGCAGAGTTCATTTTCAAGGCAGTGGTTCACAGTATGTCTGAAACTGAATCTTTCCACTCTGTTTCAACCACTAAAATCCTTGTCCATGCCTTGATTTCTTACAGGTCTTTCCTCCCTAACTCTCTGACCTCTCATTTTATCCATCTGTAATATATATCTTAAATACTGCTGCTAAAATTGCCTTTCTCCAGCCATTTCAATCATTGTCACATACTTCCTTTAGTGGTTTCCTCTCACCTCCCACATAGGTGACAAGCTGTCCAGATGACCAGTTGGAAAATACCGCAGTCTTACGACTCTTTGATCCAGAGCCCACTGAATACAATGGGAGTCTTTCCATTGTCTTCAGTTGGCTGTGGATCAAATTCAGACCACTCGAGCTGTGATTTGCTCCCTATGCAGTTACATTGAAAATGCACTGTTCGAAAACTGATGTGCTACTCAGACTGAACAGGGGAATCAGGATCACACTGTAAGTGCCTAGTAGTTATGCAATGCTATACAAAATATGCAGGGAAGATGAAGTCCCTGTACTGTTTCATAGTAAGTGGAATCAGAACCGAAGAGTCCATGTTCGATGGAGTTACTCTTTGTAACAAGACACCAGCAGAAACAGGGAATGCTGGGGAGTTAGGCTGGAAGCAACTCAGCCACAAGGACAGAGCAATCTACAGGTTTTAATAAAGTTCTGCTTGTTTATCTTAACCTGCATTCTGCCTCACTCTCTATATAAAACACAGTGGCAACATCTGAGCTGACTTCATTGAAGTGTAGTGCCTGGCAGTGTGAGCCACGGAACTGTGTCATTTCCCCCCCTCTTTCTCCGCTGCCCTGATCCCCTTCCTCTAAGCCGTGGATTTCAGAGATACAAAACTAGTCAATGATAAACATGGTATGAGGCGTTTGAGCTGTACCCACACCTAGCCATGCATGAGGATGTCTGCAGCAAGAAAGTAAAACTCTGCAGCAAGAGTCCCGTCAGCCTTGGGGAACTATTAATCCCCAATAGCAGAATGAATCTGGAGAGTGGTGCAGTTTTCTCGTTAAACACCAGTCTGAATGAGGGGAGAGGGATAAATTCCTATGTTACTGCCCTGTGCATACTGGCTGTTATTGACAGAATCCCTACTTGTGGACAGGGTAGTCTGCAGATTTTGGCCATGACAGCTGAAGGATTGGCTAATCTGGCAGGACAATTTCACATTAGAGCCCTGCACTAGGGTAGCATTGCAGGGAGTATGGCAAGTGGAAACACATTAACAGTGTGTGCAAGAGCAGAAGATGCTCTTAGAAAGCCCCAGACTTACATGGAAGGTCACATCAGTCAGCTACGAGTACATCATGACTCTTTCCTTGATTCCAAGAGCATATTAGATTCAGGGTGTAGGAAAAGGAAAGCAACAAGGGACAATATCAGTCTCTATGCATATAGCGATGTTAACAGGGAAACATTCCGTGCAATTTCATCTAGTTAGTATGGTCAGTTAGTGGAGCCCACCGCAATGTGATTCCTTGGGGTGAATTGGACTACGACACACCCATTACAAAGAACAGATGTAATCTAATTCTGTCCAATGACAGCATAATCCATGCCCTAGGAAAATATGATGTCACAATGACTGACCTGAACAATAGATGGTACCAACAGAAGTGATACACACCAGCTCTTTCCTGGATGATCAAGGTAAGATCCTGGAGTAGCCCTTACATATCACAGGGTACCCCTTCTGCTCCTGTCTTCCTCTGCATGCACAGACTATTTGGAGACTCTGCTTGTGAACAACACACTTGGTATATTGCCATTGATCCTCTGTCACCTTCACAGCACCATGCAGCATATAAAAACTCCCTAGCTCAGAGGAGCAAGAGGGAGAAGAGCTTTCTCTTTCAGATCTGTTCCTCTTGGCTCCACCGTTCTA